GATGAGGCGTTCGTTCCAGCGGAACCGTCACGGACAGCCGGTTGCCAATTAATAATGCACGCACCACTTACCGGGTAATCGAGGCCTAAACCGATCCTCGTTCAGCACCGCCAGGTAGAGCTCCTCCCTGAGCGGCTTCGGCACGGCTCCCTCGGGCACCGACATCGATATGCCCGCATCCGGGAGAACCAGAAGCGCGCCACGCGTGTTCACCGCCGCCCCGGCGACGTTTCCGGTCTCGAGCTTCGGCAGACGGACGCTCTCCGAGGCGACGTTGTAAGTCGAGTCGGAGGACGGGTAGGAGCTAGTGACGCTGTTCTCGCAATCTGAATGGATCTGCTTGTCGCTGCACGATTCCTGGGTCGATGTGCTTGGCGTTGGCGACATTGGAGACGGTTGGGGGGCGATCGACAGGTGGGGCACGTCGTAATGGTGCTCGGAGAGGGATCTCGACATCGACAGCTTCGGGTCGAAAGGATACTCGTAACAGGCCGGCACGCTCGTCGCTGTTACGTCCGGCTGAAGGCTCAGCTTCTTGTCCTGGTCCGGGAAGAACTCCGGCTGGAATTCTGAAACGCACACCGCCGAGCCACGGCTCGTGGGTATCTCTGCGCGCTGCGGACAGACGCCGCTGTGATACTATTCCGACTTCACAAGGCTCACAACCACGTCCGCCACTTTCATCGGATTTTTCATTCGACGATTCGTTAACGCGTGAAATACATAATAGAATTGTTGTTGCTCGTGAAAGTATTATTTTTCGTGAATATCGCGTTGAAAGCTGATAATGTCCACGAAACAAAAATATCGCTTGTATTATTATTGTTAGTGAATGGAAAAGACGTGGTTCACAGATATTTTAAGAATTTTTAATATTCGTCAATTCTAAATTCTGTATCAATAAATAGTTGCATCAAAGAAAGAATTAATACTTCCACATATAATAGAAATTCAAGAACGTAAATGATGATTACTATATACGATACAGTATATTTTATTCTTCAATACGTGTTACTTGATAGAATACTACAAAAGGATAAATTTTTGTAACATACGGATGAAAGTAGCGAACACGTGGCGTCGTTCAAACTTCGAAATAGTATCGTTTTAATCGAATCTATCAAGGACGAAGGGCCGAAGAACGAGTCCATTTTTCACGAAGCTTGGCTGAAACGCGAAGCGTTTAATTATAGGAGCGTTATTAGTCACGGAACATCGTGTCTCGCTCCTTCGTTCGTGAAGAGTCAGCGCGTTTTCTTTCTCTCTCTTTTTTTTTTCCATCTGTAAAATGCTTACCGTTACGGGCCATGGAGTAAAGGGAATGGTCCCGACCTTTGCGCCTCAGAAGTTTCGCTAAGAAAAATGCCAGGCCGCCGATTACCACACACGCGACAGTCAAGCCGACGTAGAGAGCCACGTCCATCTGCCGGTTCGCTGTGAACATCAAACGATGTGTTTCCTTTCTTTATTCCTGTCTCGTGAACCGGTCAGAAAGACGCGCGACACGATGATGGTACAGGTATTGCAGAATGTTAATTACTTTATTATAGAATCTAATTATTTCCTTCTCTTTCCCTTGTACCAATTTCTTAGAAGACGTGCGCTGTTTCTTTCTGATCTTTCTTCGCAATTTTACGATTTCTTTTTTAATTGTCATTATTTTTTTTTAATAATGTAGATATGATGTTAAAAAAAGATAAATATTATATACGTAGTTTGCATTCAATGACTTTTGCTGTTTTAAAATTTATATCTGCTACTTTAATTACGTTAAAAGCGTTAAAAAAATTTAAAAACTTGACAAAACGATATTTTTATAGTTGTACGGGGAAATAAAACCTTAAAAACTTCATTCGATCCATTCATAAATCTCTGTCTTGATGAAACAAAGTTTAAAGTTTAAAAGTAATAATTATATTTACATTCATCGTGACACGTTTTCGAAATTTTAGAATAAAAAATTTCAACAGACTTAAAAAATGAATTATGAATGTATGCCAGGAGGTACATTTCAAGGGAAAAGATTGAAAAGAAAATATTCTAGAATATTCGTCTGAAGAAACTGTTACATCAGCACGATTAATTAGTGCCTAATTAAATCCGCTCGCTTAACACCCGCAAATCGACCATTTCGCGTTTCCTTCGAGACACGAGTCAACACGAATTCATGCACACACGCCTCGAGGAACATCTTTTCCCTCGAACACGCAACAGAAGCGAGAAAAGCATGACCCGCTAATTCGAGACTTTGTTACGGCATGGCGTTAAGCCGCGCGTCGAAAGATTATCGCCCTGTCGGAGATTACAGTAACCACGAGCGTTAATTCCTCGTTTTAAAGGGCCACTCCGCGATACGATCTCGCCACTCGTTTTAAGACGTACCGTGCAAATGGCGCCGGTAATTCTCGCGTATCCGCGAAGCGTGCTCATCGTGGACGGGCCGGACCCCGACCACCATTCATGAATAATTTACGCGGCAACTTTTATACGATCTTCTTCTCCTTCCCTCTCCTTTTCTCCTTTTCTTCCTCTTCTATTTCTTCCCTTTTTTCTTTTTTTTTTTTTTTTTACGACGAAACGCGTGGACCAAGATTTTGGTCGACGAAGGGAGAAGAGAAGAGGACAAGTTTTTAAACGTTTCTCGCTAAATATTACGAGCATCGTCTAAGAAGAAGAGTTTTTAAGTTTCCTCTCCATTTACGAGAGGGGAGACAGACCAGGAGCTCGTCTCACTTTCGCCCACCCTTCGTTTTATCGTTTTACAGCCGCATGACGCGTTTTATTCCGCGCTTTCTGGCGATAAACATTCGGATCATTATTGTCGTGCCTCTTAAACGGCATCGTAAAATAAAGAGAGGGAAAAAAAGGAGCGTTCAACGCTGGGAATGGAATAATAACTTCGATGGACGCGAAGCAGTTGAACCACGAGTTAAGGCAACAAAGAAGACGTGGGACGCGATTAAAACCGCGAAAAATAATCGGCGAGTTGTGACAGGATATTATAGGAACGGGGTGTGCATTGCGTCATTGTATGTATATATATATAGGATTCTCGTGAAATCGGGATTGAATTACAGTGTATGCAAAGTTTCACCGAGATTCGAGCGGCGTTTTATGAATTATGTAACGGGGGAATTCATTGGTGCTCCTTGACGCGAACTCTTGCCGCGGTTTGACCGCTTGTAAATGCTCGATCTGACGGACGACGACGTGGAATCGTAAATCGTAAATAGTTCGAGGATATCGATTTGTGAAACGGACCGATTACACTTGCAAGATTTATTTCTTATTTTTTCATTCTCGTACAACAAAATTTTTAAATTCAATCGATTTTAACTTGGATTTATTACAAACCAAATGGAGATACTACTTTAGAAATTCTTAGGAATGTAACAAATCTATCATAAAAAAAAATACTAAAGCTTATCGAAAGGGTTTATTACTCTAACGTTTCTAAGAATAATAATTATCGAATTATATATACAAAATGTAAAATAGAATTGAATATTACTAAAATCGCAACGAAATCAAAGATTCTATTACAATAATTCTAGAAGTCTATCATAATAATTTTTTACAAAAAATATCCAACTTGAACTGAAACTCATTAAGAGCAAAGTATTATTTTTTGAACAGCTTTAATTTCCATAATTTGCATAATTTAATAATTTAAGAAAAAGAAAATAAAAAGCAATTCTATTGATTTAAAAATTGACTGTAATGAAATCTTACCATAAAAATTCCTCTCCAGGAAGAACTCTACAACAATTGATACAATATTCATATATAATAATCTTCACATCACATATTTATAATCTAAAAATTCGTACAATAATTTTGTACAAAAAAAAAAACATATTTTATCTTATCAATTAAAAAATATTTTCTTACTTTTAACATTTTCAACACTTCGAAATTAAACACACTAAAATTTAAAAGAGGAGGACGATAAAAATTGATTCTTTCCACCCTTCAATGCCTCATTGTCACGCTCAAGATCACAAGGGTGTCTGGCCAAGAGGATTTTCGACAAACAGTATAAGATCTTCGGATGAAAAAGCAACGTCTGACGTACCTAAGCTTCTTCCAATTTTAGAATGTCAAAGCCATTCTCGGTTGTAACCCCGGTACGTGACTTTCGAGACAGAGAGAGAGAGAGAGAAAGAGAGGGAGCCGGGTCCTCGTTCGCAGGATCATGTGCGCCTGCTTGGCGCACGCTTGTCCCGGGGACACGTGCTTCGAACATCAATATATCGCGGTGACGAAAACGCATACGAACGAAAAAAGGGGAGAGAAAGAGGGATACGGAGGAGGTTGTATTCCCTAAAACGCAATAGTTCCACGTCGTTAGCTTGGATTAGGCCGCGTTCTCCTCCGCCTCGCGTGTTCCACCCCCTCACGAAAGTTGAAAAGTGGTGCAGGGGGTCGCGGAGATTTATTTTCTTCTACTGGCAATTGATAACGCTTCATAACCTCGACCTAATGTATCTGAAACCTATAATTCATCCCCCTTCGAAAGGATCTTGGCTTCAATTTTATTTTTCTTGTTATTCTTGTTATCGCACGATTGTTTTCCAAAAACTTCGAAAACTACTTTGAAAGAACCTTATAAAATTCTTAATTCTACTTTTACTTTATGGAATTGATATTTCGTTAAGATTACTTTTATTATAGCTCGAAGTTTGTTATATTGGAGCGAATTTCCAGGATACACTTTGTTCGAAGTGGAGTAAATGCGAAAGAAAAGCGAATATCGGATTAATTTTTAACAACAAGTTTGTAAAAAATGTTTGAAAGAATCCATCAACCCGAATAATTTACTACAACTCTATCATTTTCGTTATGCGCGATCCTCGAAGCACGTGTACTTCTTAACCATTTCCCTGAAAACCACCCTGACTGAAATCAGAGCTCGATTCGGAACAATTCTCGCGTCTTATCGTGGCTTTCGGCGAAAATCGAAGTCTCGAGGGGTGGTTTCTGGCCCGGCCAACCCCTCGACCCAACTATCCACGTACTCACGTTCAGGCCTCCGCCACGGGATAATGGCACTTTATTTGCATGCACGATCAATTTCCACGGGCGGGAGGAGGGCGCGGAAGGCGTAACGGCTACCGATTACATAATTTTCTTCGATATTAAAGCGGGCCCACCCCCGAGGGGACGGGAAGGTGAGTAGAGACCTATGTCGAACGGTATCGCGTGCAACTTTGATGTGGTTCGGTCGATAGAATCGACCGGCTAAAGGTGGAAGGAGAGGGAGGGGGGCCTCCTCTTTGTCTGAATCTATACGGATCCGGTATAGGCCACCCTCGGGCCACCCGCCACTTCATTGTTGCGACCGTTTCGCCCGAGATTCGGCCCTTCGACGATCGTTCTCTGCCGAGCGTCAATAATTAACCGGTCGCGTAATTAAAAGTAAATACTGAGGAACGGCTGTGTACTTTGGTCGTTCGCGTGGAAAACTTGATCTGTAAATAGCGGAGGAATGATGATGAGGGGGGTTGATTGAGATGAGAAGGCGTTTTTTTCCTCGGGCTGAAACCGTGGAAAGCAATTATTGAAGCAACAACAGAAGAGACGTTGGAAAGGAGTTTAAGGAAGGGTTTTAAATTGGGCAAAAATGAAAGACGTGTTTCAACGTGTGTAATTTGATTATTTATATAATATTTTGTCTTTTGTATAAACAGTTTCTAGTTAATTGCTTTATCGATAATTGATTGTTGTATACTTTCTGGATCAAATTTCTTATTTGTTTAATTATTCTGACAAAGAATAAAATATAATATGGTAGAATTTGAGATTTATTTTATTAAAGTATCTGTACGTACATTAATAATATTCAATTAAATTTATCATATACGAGGCATCAAGTGAAGTTTCAATTTGATTGAAAAATGTCTTTTCTCTTAGGATCAATCTTTAATTCTAAAGATTTTCGTATCAATCGAAAGAACAAAAAAAAAAAAAAAGAAAAGAATTATTGATTCTTTTTAATCGCACGAAGATAGGCGATTCTATTGGAATTATTTTCTCCATTTCAATCGTTCGACAATGCGAAAACCCTTTAAAACAACTCGTGACGCCTTCCGACATCGCGTTAATATATCTGAATCGATGGATATCGTTCCCAGAGCGGCGTTCACGATCGTTCTGTTCTATTTTCCTGATGCGGGACGAACGATTTGAATCGTATCTGATCGCGAGCCGAGCACTACAGTGAATATAAATGGCGCTCACAAGCCGTGAAGAATCCATCTAAGAATGTCGCGCGACGAGTTATTTTTTTTCTTCGTGGCCGGTTGCACCTCGCGCCTATTCCCCGTGTTTTATTTCGAATTTCGCGCCACGGAAACCAATGATTTTCCACGCGAACACAAATTATTATATACCACGATTTCTCGTATCGTACGTTATAATTATAAAAAAAATGAGATCGTTGAGTTTCAACTTACCTTCCTCGGTCAAATGCGCGCCGCCCATTTTTGTATTGCCATCTGAAAAAGAAACGGAAGAAATCGATAAAATCATACAATCTGATTAAACAATTTAATTTAATTAATTAATATATACATATTCGGAGGATGGAAAGCGATAAAGAAAAAAAAATAAGTAATAATCGAAGCCTATTTATCAAGAAAAAAAAAAAACAAATGTTCCCTCTTTTCAAACATAAAACTTCTCGAACATTTATCTCGAGAAAACTCACTCAAAGTATCGCTTGATCAAATTTAATTACACGCCGATCCAATTTATTCCAACTCGATACAAGCTATCCGACTTTGTCAAACTCGATGAAACTCGAACGAACTTCTAACGTCCAACTCAACCAGCTTCCCTATCGAACATTCCCCCCTCTCTTCCCCCATTCTCTCTGCCCTCATCTAATCCACGAAAAAAACTTCCCTGTAACCATCTATTATCATCGATTCGCCCTAAAAACGGTGATATCCACCTTCCTATACAATCTATAACAACAAGGTGTCTTTTTCACGTGAGTATGACCCGATGGGGCGTCGAAGAGAGTCGTGACAAGTGGATGGGAAAGGATCTCGTGACTTACTGTTGCACATGCCGCCGGTGCAATTCGCCACGCTGGTGTCCCTC